AATTCCTTGGAAGTTATTAAATACCTGATGACCTTCGGGTTTAGGGCGTCTGAAGACGGCTGCCATGCACGCTAGCGGAACGTTGGGACCAAATTCATGAAATGGCAACTATAAGAAGCAGTCAGGGCTTGTGTACCTTGGGCAATTTGCGTAATCGCCGGCACTGTTCCAGATAGGAATTGCCGCACATCAGATTATCCAGGATGGTGGGGGCGCTATCCGGGTTTAATTTAAAATTAATATAGCACAGGCGGCGAATTCCGGAAATGAGCTTTAGGAGCCTGGCGGTGGTGGGGCGGCAGGCGGCTTCTGGGGGGTGGCGCGAAGGAGCTTATTAAACGAGCGAATTTTGTCGATTTCGTTTTCTTTGGACCCTTAATTCGTCTTGGGGCGCGAAATCGTTTATCTTTTTAATATAAAATTACCGCACTTTTGCCGCTCTAATCGCATTAATTTCGGTTCATCCCAAAACTGCTACCAAAAACCGGTTGCTGTGTAGTGCCGAAGTCGCATCCATTGCTGCATATACATGTTGGCTCAGTAAGTTTCACTGCTAAGAAAAACTAGGCCCTTTTCCGTTTTTAAACACATAAAAGTAAGCGCGTTTGAAAAGCGGCAAAAATATTTGAAACTGGGCCATTGGAATACTTTTTCAGACAAAAAGTCGACCAATCTAAGGCGAATTCTAGCGTTGGGAAGTTTCAATTACGCAACAACAAATGATAAAAAACCAGAGGGAATTGCTGACATTTAACGACTTCCACTTCTGAAGAGATATGCCACCATTCCTCCAGTGCACGATAAGACTGTTGAGGGGGCGCGCTGATCGCCGGAAGTGCTGCCATAGCAACACATCGATTGTCCGCCGCCCGTCGGCGGCGGCACGTCGTTGAAATTTAGCTGCTGCTGCCGCCGCCAACAAACGCAACAAAAGAATATACCGAGTGATGTTCATGCATCATCAAAACAAATCACCTGTGCGCTAGAAGTAACAGAAAACTGTGAATCACCTCAGTGACACGGCTTTAATGATTCAGAAGCCGCCATCAAAGCACTTTAAATTAATACAAACTAGTCCTCACTTGAGCAGGGAACGTTTAACTAAAAAAAATTTCTGTTTGCAATCAATCAAAAGGGAATCGACTGCTAATAAGCCAGTCCATTAACACCACCCTGATCAAAAGTCAAGCACCCCAACAAGACAGATAATAGTCTAATCATCATCATCATCGTCGTCGTCATCATCCCGCGTCCTCCCCATCAGCGTTCGTTATGGTACTCACGTGTTCGATGCTCACTTCTTTTATCCGCGACAATACGTATTATTTAGAGAGGATGACAATTGACATACGGCCCGGCACACTTTTGTTTTGGTCCTGTGGGAACGATGCTCGAATGTTTTGATTCCTGAGGTGGGACCATGCGGGATTCGTTTAATTGGACGCATTTGGGGTGCACATCATTGCTTCGCTTGCTATTAGTTTGTTTTGTGTCATTCTGTGGGCTTAACTAAATGGCATGCTTGATTTCCGATTTCCCGATTTGTTCCTTAAAATTGGCGAATTTTACCGCTTTGAAAAACGCAACATTTTCTCGTCCCAATTTGCTTGGTTGGCAAAATTCAAATTTATGGCAATACACCTACAGGGTGAAAGTGGCAGTGACACTCAATAAACGGCGTTTTTTTTTTAATTGAATTCCCTGTATATCGAAATTAACTGAAATTTATTGAAGGTTTAGACATTTTTTTGACTCCCTGTACTCTTTCTATGTTCTTCCAGAGGTGATTCCAAATGATCCATTTGACTCTTTTTCTTATTATAAATGGACGCACAAAAACACAAATAATTTTCTTATCGTCCGCAATTTACGAAAGCGATTTTCGCAAACACCTCTGAGCAAAAATAGGGAAAAAAACGACACAAAATCCCACCCTTTGGGGATGCAATCTAGGGGGGTGGGACTTTATTTATGACGCCGCCGTTCCTTCCCGTCCTGGCCGTCGATTGGCGGCGTCGCCACCCCAGAACCGCCCTTTCGCCCTTTTGCACCCCCATGGACGGACGTGGAAAAAGTCACAGTCGATCATCGACGCTGTTTTCGAGTGACAGAACCGGTGCGAGTCGATGTCTTGCCGATAAATCGTAAATCACACGCGATTAATCGAAAGTTTTAAAGCTCAATTTATTATTATTAATATTGGTCAGTGTCAGTGAACATGCAAAAGTGTCTTTAATTGGGTGGAGAAAACGGTCATCATGCTGGACATAAAACCGTCTGCGGACTATTTGACTAGAAGCTCAACGTTTGGACAGTTTTCCATGCTGTTTGGTAAATATTTAGCGCTAGATTTACGTTACTAATATCGGTATGGATGAGAAGCGAAGCCTGGGCTAATGAGGAAAATTGCGCTTTTTCTTATAAGGATATGGATTCAATGAAATCGCAACTGATTGGTATTTGATGTAGAAGGAATCTTATTTCAAAGATTAGTCCTCGTATTATTTACCGATTTCCCAAATATACAGGGTTATTCACGCTATACGGCACGGAAGTTTGCGGCTAAACCGTTTGATTTTTAAAAAGTTGTCCGACGCCTACCGAGTGCACATTT